GAAAGGGATAGGTTCCCCTTCTTGGACGCCTCCGCCTCTAGATCCGCGAAAGCCGCCCTTTTCTTCTTTCCCCCCTTAAGGGTAGAGTTGCTCTCTTCCTCCTCTACATCTTCGTCATGAGAGGAGAGAGTCTCGATGTCTTCGGACACAATGTTTGAAGCGCCCTTACGGCGGAGGCCACCTCTGGCCTCCTTGCTCTTCTTCTTGGCCTTCTTCTCTGGCGTCTGATACGGCGCCGGAACCAGCATCTTCATCAACAAAGGGATGGCTGAGTCTTCGGGCAGTGGAGCCGGACACTGGATCCGCTCCGCCTTCTTTGTCCAGCCATGTGGGTGTAATGGAAAGTTCAATATACTCCTTGGATTTGCAAATTAAAGTTATCATAAAACTTACGGGAGTGGCCAGATGAGCACAGTCGAGGCCGCGGTCTTCTGAGCCTTGAAAAGTAGCTTCCATATGTCTTCGTGCGTCATGCCGAAGAACCGCTGCAGGGTCCGAGGATCTTCTGGGTCAAATTCCCACATATACCGAGTCCGGTGTTGGTAGGAGACAATCCGGCGAAAGAGCATCACCTGGATCACGCTGGCAAGACTGGTGTTCTTGTTTATCATACCCTTGATGCTACTCTGTAGTGTCGTCACCTCATCGGGCGACGCCCAATCCAGGCCCTTGTTGAGCCACGAGGTAAGCCGCATTGGAGGCCCGGACTTGAACTCGGGAGCGGCGGCCCATATGGTGTCACGAGGTTCCGTTATATAGAACCACCCCTGCTGCCATCCCTTAACAGTCTCCACAAAGGCCCCCCTTGGCCAGGTGACGTTGGGAAGTTTGCTCACCATGGTGCCGCCGCACTCCGCATGTTGACCTTCAACCACCTTCGGCTTCACATTGAAGACCTTGAGCCATAGGCCAAAGTGGGGAGGGATGCAGAGGAATGCCTCGCACACGACGATACACGCCGAAATGGTGAGGAAGGAATTTGGGGCTAGATCGTGGAAATCTAGCCCATAGTAAAACATGAGACCGCGGGCCAAACAATGGAGGGGAAACCCTACTCCGCGGAGGAAATGGGAAATGAACACTACCCTCTCATTAGGCTCTGGGGTGGGAATGATCTGCTTCTTGGCAAGGAGCCGGAGGACTATGTCCGCGGCCAAGTACCCAGCTTCCCGGAGCTCCTTGATGTTCTCCTCTGTAACAGAGGAAGCCATCCACTTGCCCTGCGCTCCAGATTCGGACATGGCTAAGATTGTTTGGTGGCGATGGAAAAGATTGGAACTTGGGCGCTGGAGCACGAAGGGCAGATGGGATGAGGGGAAAGAAGGCATGGGGTAAAAAGACGGATCCTTATCTTATAAAGGCAGTGGATATCAAGCACCCCCTCATAAGCCTTAAATCTCCCCTATTTCCAAGGGGATGTGTGAATGGCACGGTTGGATTACCCAGACCCCTATTGATAAGAATCTCGTGATAAGGGGACACAATCTCTGCTTTGACAAGACGTGTCAATGACCGTTCCTTGAAACACGAAGCGGGGGCTGTAAAACGGTTCAGGGTACTAACAAGGCCAGGACATAACGGCTCGCTGAAAAAATCACTTATGGACGTAACTTACTTTGTTTGGAGTATTTTTTCCCTTACAGCTCAAAGTTGTAATTATTAAATAGAGCCGGATACAACTATTATGTGTGGAAGACTGCTTTGGAGTATTCGGAGAAGGAACCCGCCTTGCAATGCCGAAGACACTTTGCGCGCCGGATACATCGTCATTGAAGCTGGTTCAGGGGCTACTGAGGGAGTCCTGGACTCTGGGGTCCTCGGGGAGCCGGCCTATGTGACATGGGCCGGACTGATGGGCCGTGAAGATACGAGATAGAAGGTCTTCTCCCGTGTCCATATGGGAGTCTCCTTTGCGTGGGTGGCAAGCTTGGCGTCCGGATATATAGTTTCCTTCCTCTGTAAACCGACCTTGTACAACCCTAGTTCCCTCCCGTGCCTATATAAATCGGAGGGCGTAGTCCGTAGAGGCGATCACAATCATACAGGCTAGACATCTAGGGTTTAGCCATTACGATCTCGAGGTAGATCAACTTTTGTAACCCCTATACTCATCAGAGTCAATCAAGCAGGAAGTAGGATATTACCTCCATTAAGAGGGCCCGAACCTGGGTAAACATTGTGTCCCTTGCCTCCTGTTACCTTCGATCCTTAGACGCACAGTTCGGGACCCCCTACCCGAGATCTGCCGGTTTTGACACCGACAATGATGACCTGCAACAACAAGCTGGATAGATGAAAAATGAAGCAGTGTCAAGGAAATTAATTAGTTTTCATATGATCATGATGCGGAGGCTAGGAGCACTACCTCTTTCATTATAACAAAAATAGTACAGGTTGTTCCTTATTCTTTATGACAGTTGTGTAGCTTTGGGTGTTTCATGTTCATTTCTACTGTGTGTTTCTACTTTGGTAGATGATCATAGGTGATATTATACTACTAGATGTATGGTTTGATATTGTCACTGTCAGCATGGATATTTTTTTCAGGTTGTGCTAGCTAGCATATGTTGCAACACAAAAAATGCTGATCAATCCCAACAATACACTGAACAATTTTGCAAGGGCAAATGTTATGTAAAGCAAATAAGTTCCGTAGAAGAAAAGCAAGCTCCCTTTCTATATAGTATAGAACGGATTTTTTCCATCTTTTAATTTTGGTATTCTAATTCATAGCTTAGGCTCTTTTCTTTCAGCATATAGTTAACTAACAACAATGACATTGCCATCTATGAATATATATGAGCAAAACAAATCGTTGGCGCAGTCCTTTAGTTCGCCGCAATTCTCCTTGTGAAATGTTTTTTGTATGTCGAAGTTTGTGTAGGTTTTAAAGAGATATTTTGCATATATACTTTCCCTAAAAGAAATGCTCACATTCATGCTGGCAAATAAGCTAAAATGACAATGGCTTTGGAGAATCCCTCATAATGTACGTGTCTGATCCCTCAAGTATGTACCTTTTTTCAGGAATCCTAAATCGTGTATTATTTAAATATAAGTTAGTTTTATATAATTTAATGTATTTAATTATTTAACAGTTCAAGTTGCATATATTTTCTTCATGTGGAACATTTCTAACAAAAAATAAATGCACATCTAATGTACGATTGATCTTTGACCACAAATATGATTTAGTTTATGTAGCTCCGTGATAAAGTTTGAGTTTTTTTAGGAGGATTTATTTTTCCGGCAGTTCCTCGCCAACAAGCAGTCAGAAAGAACATATCCTACTATTTTAGAATCATTGTTTAATTCTTACTACCTAGGTTTATAATTTCGGTTGCAACTTTATACTTGGCAAATTATATTTGCAATGCTGGCAGTAGTTCGGTTGATAGAGGAGGTGACTATAGGCGAGGCGCTAACCGACGACAGCCACCTGACGTGGCTGACCCCTCCCACCGACGATCTCCTCCCATTATTGACGACATCCACCCAGATCGTTCCACCGACACAAGGTTGAACTGTCGCAACTAGCGAGGGCAGGAAGGAGGATAAGCGGCACTATAGATGGGGCGTTGGCTTGACATAAAGGACGTGGACCAGTGTACACGGCGGTGGGCGCGGACTGGGATATATATTTTTCTCGCGTTATAACGCACATACATATTTCCTAGTTATCACCAAATTGCTTCATCCACGTGCGCTTGCGGGACATCATCCTCCGTGTCCATCGCATTCGACCTCTCCTCCTACGGAGAGCTCGGAGACTCTCGCCCGTAGGTTCTAGTGCAAGAGCTCGGTAATAACTTTACTCCATGTAAAAGAAATACTGTATATGCGTGCTCGCATAGTAGTTCTCTAGTGCAAGAAAAAGACTTGTAGCAGTAGACCGCAGGCGGCCGGTCTAGCGTACAGCCTTCTGCTCTCTCTCTCTCTGCCCCCAAGCGAGCCGAGCGTGACCGCGAGTCTGCCCGCGGCAGCACTAGCAGCCACTCCGAATCGGGGCCAATTGATTTGAATGAAAATTTTGGGGCCGACGGATCCGCGCGGGAGGCAGCGTGCATGCGTGACAGCTACCCCGCCATGTAAAGCCCCAAGCACCGGCCCGCGCACCACGCAAGCATTTTGTGCGTCCGGTTCGTCCTGGGCCCGTCGCACGCCCCGCTCCATCCATGCAATGCATGTTGTACACCTGGAGACGGCGGGATCCACCGTACGCTGTCGCTTCAAGCGCTGGCCATTACAGCAAGCTAATGCTCACTGCTCGGAGGAAGTACACAGTGAACCGTCGTCACATCGGCATGACACTGAATTGACCGCGCAACAAACCCCGACCGTACGGGACGTCTACTACAACACCACACTATTTGCCAGTGATTGAATTTGCACTTGAGGATCCTCAAGTGAGCCGGCGAGGGGAACAGCACAGGGGCCAAGAAAGAAAGAAAAAGAGCGGCGTGGAATCCCGAATCCCCACGTTGGCCGTCGCGACGTGGCCGGCGGGGCCAGGTGGCACGTGAAGGCACGAGGTGCGTGTCCGCCCAGCCTCTTCCTACGCCCGGACCCTTCTTCAGGCATGGCATGGACGACCTGGAAGCAGCCGAGCCTACGACGGGATAGGGATTAGATATTTGCCACAGCATCTCCACATCCCTTTCCGATCTCTCGCACGGCGAATCGCCTCTCCTCCAATCCCCTGCCCGCGCCCACGTGAACGCACCCGCCCGCCTTTACGGCCCCCGCATCCGCGCGCCACGTCCATGCGCCGGCTGGCTGAGCCACGTCCCCTAGGAGGGCACGCCGGTCCACGGACCCGGCCCAGGGAGCCGGCGGGCGACGCGGTGTCCTCATCCATGGTGCATGTATAAATAGGTTCCTCCCCCGTCGACTCTGCACGCCTTATCACCACACAACCCCATACACACACAGTTCCTCAGATTACGATTACGATCGAGGAAGAGGAAGAGCAAGAGGAATAGCAGGAAGAAGATTACAATATGGCCCTGGGAGACGACTCTCCGGCATCCTACATCCGCATGGTATGTACTAGTACAATCGCCTTCTTCCCATCCTTCAAACTGTATACCTTTATCTGCTGCTCTCTTCGAGCTAGGAGATAGATGATCACCAGCTACGCTTTTCGATCGGGTCACCTCACCGGGCTTGCATGCGCAGGACATCGACTTCTCACGTAGACATCAGAATTGGTTAACTAATTAAGGTGGGGTTTTAATTTGCAGGTGCACCATCTGATAGAGAAGTGCATGACGTTCGGGATGAGCATGGAGGAGTGCATGGAGGCGCTGTCCAAGCGCGCCGACGTTCAGCCGGTCGTCACCTCCACAGGTCGGCCGGTCTCAAATCAATTACTGCTCCCTCTGATCAGCAGGAATATATTTATCTGTACTGACGCTGAGTTGGCGTGCTTGCAGTGTGGAAAGAGTTGGAGAAGGAGAACAAGGAGTTCTTCGACAGATACAACAAGCAGTTGAGATCAGAAAAGGAAGGCCGAAGCAGCAGCAGCAGCAGCGACAGCAGCTCCTAATGACCAACAGCAGATGCGTGCCGCTTGCTCTAGATGTTGGCCATTCTGCACTTAGTAGAACGAATAATTAGAAGACCGATGGCGCGGGAGGTCAGCTAACGCGACGCGATCTATGTGTGGTGGTGCATGTACAGCCGTACAGGGTCGGGTTGGCAGGAATCAAAAGCCAGCTCGTACTGTTGCGATATTCTTCAGATGTACTAATTGTACTCGTCATGTGTCCCGTCTTCTCTCCCACCGTGTGCTAATGGTCCAAGCAACGTAATATGGCACGCAAAAAATGCTCTGCTCCTGCAATCGGATTCTCACTTTTTTTCTTCTCATAACGAACAAAAAGAAGAACGCGGTAGTCCTGCACAGAGAAACACTGTTCTCCCCTAACCAGAGATACTAGTACACATGATCACGGGAAAATGGAGGAACCATATACGCTCGGCGAGAAGTAGGTGTACACGAACGTGCTCCGTGACGGGATGGGACATCTTGTCTTTGGCTCGCTCAAGCCAGCATGGAACGGTCCAAACAAGGAAAGTTTGCATCGGCGCCATACGTGTGTGCAGTGCCGTGGAATCGGTGATGGGATTCTGCACGGGACAAGGACCGGACCCCTCCCCTCTTCTTTCCTCTGATTTTGACGTGACAAGCAACAACTTCGCGAGGCAAAATGGGCAAAAATAACCTCGAAACGCCACTAATTCACAATGGGTGAATTTTTTTCACCAGTTGACCCTTTTGTGTAGCGGACCCTACACTACACTGAGTAGCGGCTGATTAATAGGTGCGACACGCCTGGCGGTGTGGCACCCTAAGGCTGGGCAAGGGCCCACCTCACCTCTAGCCGACATGCGCTACACTACCTAGACGAAAGGCGCTGCACGCGCACTTACTAACCGCACTGCCGCGGGCCGGCCCTCCCTAGCCCAGCCCCGACACAAACCCCATGAGCATTTGAACAGAGGAGTCGCGATTCCCTCTCTCTCCCCTCTCAAATCCCTCCCCAAATCCTGCAGATTTGCTCGTGGATTTCGATCTCAATCCCTCCCTCAAGATATTTTCCTTCGATCCACTCCTTCTCATCTGAAAAAATGCTCACATTTGCTCAAGTCTACCACGTTTAGGCAAACCATAGTTCTTCATGGATTTTGAAACGTGTATGGAAATATGAGATGATTGTTTGGCATTTGTCAGGGTTAGGCTTCTTAGTATGTTAGGGTTAGGATTATGGTTCTTGTTATGTTGGGGTTAGGGTAAGGGTTAGGTTATGGTTCTTGTTATGTTGGGGTTAGGGTTAGGGTTATGGTTCTTGTTACGTTGGGGTTAGGGTTGTTGTTCGATTTCTATGTTAGGCTTTGGATTTTGTCTTAATCTTCACATGAATACTTATGGAATATATTTTCCGTTGTGTTGTTTTAATTATGTTAGGGATGGAGAGAACATGTATTTATGTTCATCATGTGGACAAGGACGCCTTTTTGAAATGCAATAACGAGCCGCCCCGATTGAGCTTGACATGATGTTTGAGGGTAGTACTAGCTATGTCGAGGTCTTGGAACAAGTGAGAACAGATTTAAATTGGATGGACCCAAGTGATATTGTTGAGTTGGAGGGAGGCATAATATGGGGATTGGGATGCACATCCGTTGGAAAACAATGCAGGTAAACTCCAAGCAACGTTGGGTTGCATACAAAGAGACAGTGACCGAATTACTAATTTGCCACCAAAAAGGTTGACGATAGCTTACACTTGGACTTGAACCGGCTTGCCTACCCTTTTGTTGATAGGAGTCCTCCACCCATCAACCAAGATGAAATGAGTGAACCTCTTTTGACCCAACAAATGAGGCCAAAATTGAGCCTGTTTTCAAAGAACCAAGATGAAGCATTGGAAGAAGAGGATGATAAGAATGACATTGATCTCCGTGACAACAATGTTGGAGATTTGGACACATATTATGTGCAAGAGACCATGGAACCTTCCATCCTGTATTCCCGTGGCTTTGCATCGGAATCGGACGATAATGGACCTAATGAAGAAGTTGATGAGGAGGGGTTCACGGCAAAGGATGCCGAAGCTTTCGAGAAGGTATTACGGCGGGATCATCGGATACCATTGTTCAAGGATCTTAGCCTCGCGGATGAAGCCGTGGTTAATGGTGGCAAGGATATATTTCTTGGAGTTAGGCCAACTTCTTGAAGGAAATATGCCCTAGAGGCAATAACAAACTTATTATTTATTTTCTTATATCATGATAAATGTTTATTATTCATGCTAGAATTGTATTAACCGGAAACTTAGTACATGTGTGAATACATAGACAAACAGAGTGTCACTAGTATGCCTCTACTTGACTAGCTCGTTGAATCAAAGATGGTTATGTTTCCTAGCCATAGACATGAGTTGTCATTTGATTAAAGGGGTCACATCATTGGAGAATGATGTGATTGACTTGACCCATTCTGTTAGCTTAGCACTTGATCGTTTAGTACTCCCTCCGTCCGGAAAAAGTTGTCTCCGTGGCGTTTTTGCAGAAAACCCCTCCCCAAACTCCCGACACAACCCGCGCTCCTCGTCTTCTCCAATCGACACACCCCGCCGCTCTGACACGGGCGCATCAACGCCGGAGCTCCCCTGCTCAGCTTTGCCGTGCTGCTCCCCTGCTCTCCCGCACGTCCTCCTCCACTGCCGGGGATGCCTACGCCACTGCTCCCTCCTGCCTCGCGCAGCTCCCCTGGCCCCCTTGCCTGCCTCCCAAATGTCCCCTCTTTCACCCCCAAAGTCGTTTCTTCTTTCTCCCGCTGCGTCTCCTGCTTGCGCGCTGCGGCGACACCTCCTCCTCGTTGCCCCCGACGCCGGAGGAGGCACGGGGCAAGCAGCAGTGTCTCGCGCTGCGCTTGCGCCACCTCGGGTGCGCGTGGGCCTACGCGTCGGTCGCCGCCTCGGCCGTGCGCCAGTCCGCAAAGGAGGAGGAAGGGGATTCCGTTCGCCGCCAAGGCGTACTGGGTATGCTCCTCGAGTCCCCGCTCTTCAGGCCCCTCCTCACCTCCCTCATCAAGAAGCAGAACAACATGACGCAGGTCCTCTCCTCCCTTGTCAGCTCTCATTTTGTTTGAAATTATTTTGGCCAGCAACTCAGTGGTTTGCTTCTGTTGATTCTGGTCTTTTATGTTGGGGGCGAGCAGATGCTGCAGCGCACGGGGATCCCTGACCGGCCCATGTTCTTCCCGGAGTACAAGCAAAAGCAGCTATGAGAAACTTTTCATTCAGTCAAGTTCTACTGATTTTTGGTCTTCTTGAATTTTGTATAGTTGAGATAGATGTTCTACTTCTTTCATTCAGTCAGGCTCTACTGAAACATTTTGCAGAAACAATGTTCTGCTGAAACTGAAAAAAGGAACATAAACATAAATGTTCTGCTGAAACTGAAAAAAGGAACAGAACCACACCTGAATAATTTGTACTCCTCCTTAATTCTTCAATAGATTTAAAAATGTTCAGACTTTGAATGTTCACTGAATTAGTAAATCTTGTCTTTCCTAAAAACTGAATTTGTATATTAAGTCTTTGCTAAAGAGAAATAGTAAATCCTATCATAACAAATGTTCATTCAGAAGTGTTAAGAAATCTTCAGTTTTTTATCCTGAAATGTTCAATTTTTTGCTCTCTAAATTGTGTGCCTTTATTGCTCATTCAGTGCTCAGTACAGTATTCAGTTTGAGTAAAATTCAGTTCGTGTGGTGAGTTGAAGAGCATTGCTCCCTGCCTTGCTATGCCTAGTTATGTTAACTACAGTATCATTGTCTACTTTGGGGTCTTTTTGTGGTGAAAGTATGGGTCTTTTTGTATGGTGGCAAGATGACTAGATGGATTCAAATAAATCTAGCTAATTCAAATAATTCCAAGTTAATAAAAATAAATCCAAATTAATTCAAATAATTAAGAATAGGAATAAGAATAATTCAAACTATTTCAAATAATTAAGAAGAAGAAGAAGAAATCAAATAATTAAGAAGAAGAAGTACGGCGAGGTATTCGTAATGGCGTCAAGTCACCCTTGCCATATGGATCATATGTAACTCTTGCTGCTAGCCTAGAGGAGTACATTTTCGTGCTTCAAGTCTGAACTTATGTATGGAAAATGCATGCTTCGAGTCTGAACCGATGCACTCCATTTTGTGGTGATTAGTTGCCACTTCTGTATGCACTAAGAAAAAGAAGCCTGAACATGGCATGCATGCTTTCTTGTGGTGTTAGCATCCCAGCATTGATCAACACAGCTTGTCCTCACAAGCACATAGAAAATGACAGGTTCTGAACACCAAGTTGACAGGTTCTGAACATCAAGTTGACTGAACACAGCTTGTCCTCACAAGCACTTTATTTGTTTTATGAAACTTCTTGTAATATGCATAGAAATGTATAACAATAATTGGAGTATTTATGATGATCAAAGTGTTTCTTACTCAAGTGCAATTTGTTGAGCTATTGCTACTGCTTAATCAAACAATGCATACCAATCTGCTCCTGCTTATGTTTGGGACTTTGGGGTGCTGCATCGATGTGCATCAAACATGATTAAGTTTTTTTTGCTGTGATAATCCAAAATGCTTCAGACTGCTAGATTCAGTTTCTAGTGATAATCCAAAATGCTTCAGACTGCATAAAATGCTTCTTTTGCTGTGATAATCCAAAATGCTTCTTTTGAGTACAGTAGCTGTCAAATTTAGCCTATCTTGATCTTGGGCTTGAGAGCTTCTTTAGCAAGATCACTGGATGCAGTGTACTCTGCTGGAGCTTCTTTAGCCTATCTTGAGCTTGAGCTTGGGAGCTATCTTGAGCTTGCGAGTATAGTTGTACGTTTGCTCACAATGGTGTATTGAAAATTGCAAGTTATATAGTGTAGTGTTTTGTAAATTCAGACTAGATTTGAGCAAGATAAACTTTACTGTTATGATTGATAAAGAAAACTTTAGTGTTATTTAGATTCAGAGCAAGTAAAGGA